CTTAAGATTGAGTCCAATTTGTAGAAAACACGAATATTGTGTGAGACAACCTAACCATTTACCACTAGGCCATACTTTTACAACGAAAATGCATATTTATGATATGAAATGTCAGTACTTTTGTTTATGTTTTTTCTAATGACAGATTCGTTTTGGAAGTATGGATATTTCTTCAAAACGAATGGTCGTCTAACGATTAGACCTACCTAACACCAGCCTTTACTATCCCCAGAAATTATGGTTAAAAATAGTTAGGGGTGTGTATTGGTTAATCGAATCGACCTAATTTTGAAAATTAGGTCGATTCGAACAAGTATAAAAGTAGCTTAGTTATTGTGTTTTACTTGCTTATTATCACTATAAATCATCAATGCAAAGTATTAACAGAGTTAAGTGTGTTTTGGTTGATAAGTTGCTAACATTGCTTAATTTATTTGTAAAAAGCTCCAATGTCATTTCAACATTGGCAATCACCACAATATTATTGTCATTCTATTTAAATTTGAAAATCATTTTGAACACGTGCTACTTAAATCTCCCACAACAAAGGATCAATTAGGCATATCACTATATATGGGCAAAATTCAAGAAAGATAAATTGTTGTTTTCTTTTTATTTATTTATTTTAATTTCGTCACTTTTCAGGCGAAAGTTTCGAGGATTGTGCAGTTAGGGAAGTGAAGGAGGAAACCGGGCTCGACATTACGGAAATCGAGGTTATGACAGTTACTAACAATGTTTTGTCCGTACCTAAACCAGTACATCTAATAGCTGTTCTCATGCGTGCAAAGCTGGCGGACCCCAATCAGATGGCCCTTAATCTTGAGCCTGATAAATGTGACGGTTGGGATTGGTACGATTGGGACAAGCTTCCGAGCCCTATGTTTGGACCACTGAAAACTGCTGTTGTTAATGGTCTGGATCCTTTTGTACTCAGTTAGAGCTATGAATTTAATTTGTGTTGATCTCTCTGCTTCTTACTCCTGGTCAGTTTATGATGAATGTTTACAAATGCAAACATTAGCAGTTATTAATATTTGCTGGCAAACAAGGCACAAGGCACTTGGGGTATGAGGATTATAGTTAGCTTCTTGTGTGTAGTATGTGTACTGTATCATATTTCTTGAAACGGTTTCTGGTAGTAAAGGTAATTGTGTCATTGCACATGACACATCAGGCTGTATTTCATCTTTGCATTTGCTACTTGGCTATAAAACCAAGACACTTTAATGGAAATGCGATATGGCTTTAACTTGTATGTTAAATTGATGGTTTGATTACGATATAATGATTTTTTTTTTATTTTTTTTTTTATTGTAGTTTATACGCACTATAGGTGACATAGCATATAAAGATAGCTTGGTTGAACCGGTCAAGGTTAGCTCGGATTGTAGGTTGAAGACTAGCTAGGCCAGTTGGTATAGACGTAGTAAGAACCCAGATAAGTAGCTCGGATAGCTAGAGTTAGGGTTGGTATCGGTTCGGTAACCGAACTAATATCGAACCGATATTTTTCGTAACCATAAAATACAAAACCGAAACCGAAACCGAAACCGGACCAACTACGAGTTGGTAACCGAATTTTGGTTACTGAAAACTTAGTTCGGTTTCGGTTTTAAGTTGAAAAAATCAAAGAAAAAAAGACCAACAACATTTCCCACTTCTCAGGTTCCCAGCAGCATGTTCCTTCCCACTTCTCAGGCTCCCAGCAGCAATAAACAAGTAAAAAACATGTTCCAGTATCCACCATTCATTCATCCACAAAATAAAAAATTAGGGCAAACACCAATATAAAAAATTGTACAACTGTTGGAAGGTGATGCCGATTCAGTATTAAAGCTCACCATCTTTCACACCTGCACGAAAAGGGAAACGAATTTCACTATTTCAGTAATTACTCACTTGAATTTGTGACGACGATTGCCGGTGCCCGAGGCTTATCTTCCAAATCGGGCGCATTAACGTATGAGTGCAGCCGAGCATGAGGAGTTGTGGCGTCAGGTGGACGAGCTCTCACAGCAAGTAGTCATCCGGCGTAGCCTCAACCCGTGCGCCGTCCCGACTTTGTTGATTCCAAAGAAGGATAACTCATGACGCATGTGTATAGATAGCAGAGTCATCAACAAGATCACCGTCTGTATCTGACAAAATAAATTTCGCAAATATTCACGAATATTAATTTAATATAATTTTATTTTATTTTATATCTACATTTATATGTATAATATTTTTAATATACAATCGAACAAATCTCAAGCTACTAAAGGCATTTTTCTTTATAAATATCTCGTTCACATTCAATCCACACTCAAAATCTAATTTAACTTTAACTCAACTCTATTATCCTTAATATTATCAATATAATTAAATAATACAAATTAACAATTCTTATAGATCACATCAATTTTAATTCACTGTTTAATTTTAACTAACAATCATTCTTCACATTATTTCTCTCATATTTTTACATCAAATCAACTTTAATTATTTTATTTTAAATATTATTTTAATATAATGTCAAAATTCCACTAACAAGTACCATATCACATATTTCAAAATTAACCATGAGTAACAAAAAAAACTCTTATAAGGTGAATTTATTTGTAAACAAGCACGTCCTAAATTATTTGAACACGAATGAATTTGAACTTTGACAAACAATTAAACAGACGAACTCGAACTTAATTTTTTACTCAAAAAATAAATGAAAGAATATGAATAATATTGCACATAATCACACACGAGCTCGTAATGCTCAAGCTACTTGTTCTGTTTGACCGTAGATGGATTACATCACTAGTGCGTCAACTGCAAGTCTGCAAGCGACATTTCTTCATTTCATTAATTTGGTTTTATTAAAGATTAATATTTGATTTAATCTCTCAATTATTGTGGGCCTGTGGCCGCCATGGTAGAAAAACAAGCACCTGAAGAGAATATTAATAATATTTATACCATTCCACACACTAATCGCTTTGTCGGGTCGAATAATTTTCAATCATTTTGGGGGCCAAAATTATGTCATCGTCTCCGCCTAAGCCGGAAGTTGGGGTGGCGGTTTTCCTGCTGAAGGGGGGCAGAGTCCTCCTGGGCCGCCGCCGCACCGCCGTCGGCTGCGGCACGTTCGCCCTTCCCGGCGGCCACCTCGAGTTCGGTCAGCATTCTCTCAATTCAACCTCTTTATTCTTGTTATTATTATTATCTGAATAAAATGGTGCTGCGATTGCTGAAATTTCGAAAATAGGTGACATTGCAATTAGTCCTTAATTTCTACAAAAGTAATGAATGGGTGAAATGTGAAGAGGCTAATATTTTTAATTAGGGATTGTGAAAAAAATACCTTGAGTTTCAGTCTAATTTGTGGAAAACACAAATATTGTGTGACAAAGTCTAACCATTAACCATTAGGCCATCATATTTTGTCAACGAAAATGCATATTTATGTTATGAAATGTCAGTAGTTTTGTTTATGTTGTTTTATGACATTTCATTTTGGAAGTATATATTCCGTATGGTCGTACGGTTAGACCTGCCTAACACTAGCCTTTACTATCTCGAGAAAATTATGGTTAGAAATAATTAGGGGTGTGCATAGGTTAATCGAATCGGCCTAATTTTGGAAACCAAAATAACAGAACAATGTATGTTTAAAAACCGAAACAACCGAATTTTATCTTCAAACCCATACCTTAACCTAACCGAATCAGTCGGCCAGTTTAACCGAACACAACTAAATAAATGCAGAACTTTAAAGGCGAACCCAACTTCTGAGTTAAAAATTGTAGTCATCCAAATAGATTAAGCACTCAATTGAAGCACTTGAACAAGAAAGTAGAATTTGTGAGTGTTTTAATGTCTTAATGATATATAAGTAGCTTAGTTATTGTGTTTTACATACTTGCTTATGGTTAACAGTATAAATCATCAGTACAAAGTATTAACAGAGTTAAGAGTGTCTAGGTTGATAAGTTGCTAACAGTGCTTAATTTATTTGTAAAAAAGCTACCACAGTAACTGATCGATTACGCATATCACTATATACGGGCAAAATACAAGAAAGATAATTTGTTGTTTCTTTTTATTTATTTATTTATTTATTTTAGTTTCGCCACATTTCAGGTGAAAGTTTCGAGGATTGCGCAGTTAGGGAAGTGAAGGAGGAAACCGGGCTCGACATTACGGAAATTGAGGTTATGACAGTTACTAACAATGTTTTGTCCGAACCTAAACCATTACAGGTAATAGCTATTCTCATGCGTGCAAAGTTGGCAGACCCCAATCAAACGGCCCTTAATCTTGAGCCTGATAAATGCGACGGTTGGGATTGGTATGATTGGGACAATCTTCCGAGCCCGTTGTTTGGACCACTGAAAACTGCTGTTGTTAATGGTCTGAATCCTTTCGTACTCAGTTAGAGCTGTGAATTTAATTTGTGTTTATCTTTCTGCCTCTGGCTTCTTCTGGTCAGTTTATGATGATTGTTTCCAAATTCAAACTTTATCAGTTATTAATATTTCAATTATAGTTAGCTTCTTGTGTGTAGTATGTGTACTATCTCAGATTTCTAAAAACGGTTTCTGGTAGTAAAGGTAATCGTGTCATTCCACGTGGCAAAATATATTGTCATATATTAGTTGATTTTTTACTATCCATCACCCGTTTTATTTTTCTTTTTTAGTAATAAGTACACCCAATTTAGTTTAGTTCTATTTTGTGAACCTAATCTTTCATTTCTTTTATGTTATTTTGTGATGCGACTTAACTCCTTGATTTTTATATTTTGCCAATAAATATTTATTTAGTTTAAGTTATTGCAAAGATAATAATATTAAACTTAACCAATGTTTGTCTATTAATTGGAAGGTTTTACTTTCTTGAATATGGGTGTCAATATAAAATCATCTCTACAAGTTTTTAAAGCACCCATATCATTCAACATGGGCAAATACTAAAATATCTTTGTCATTCTATCTAATTTTTTGAAAATCATTTTTGAAGCAGTGCTAGTTAAATTCCCCACAGCGAAGGATCAACTGCGCATTGGTATTTGTACCATTATGTACCTGCAAAATACAAGAAAGATAAATCATTATTTCTTTTATATATTACTCTCTCCTATTCATAATAAGTGTCGTTTTAATAAGTTGCACAGTAATTAAGGATATTTTTTTTGTCAATAATAACCCTCTTTAACGAAGATAGAGAATGATGTTTTGGAAAAAAATGAAGAGTGTATGAAAAGACGTAGTCAATTTATTAGCTAAATGAGGGTAATAATAGAAAAATATGTACAAAAGATCCAAAACGACATTTATTTGGATAATAGTTAATAAAGTCAAAATGACATTTAAAAAGAATAGGAGGTAGTACCTTTTTTTAACTGAATTTCACCACTTTTCAGGCAAAAGTTTTGAGGATTAATTGAGGTTATGACAGTTACTAACGATGTCTTGTCCAAACTTCCAACCAAACCTAAACCAGTATGTATGTCAGCTACATTTTATGATGGGATTTTCAAGGAAAATTCGGTGTTGCCGCTGAGAGTACTGCAGTCAACCCCTAGGGACCCTTGATTTCACACACACCCATGTGGGTGTGTGTGTGTGTGTGTGTAAATGAAGGGCTCCTATAGGCTGACTGCAGTGCCCCTAGGGACAGCATCGAATCTTCGAGTTTTCAGTTTTTATGTAAGATCCTCAAAAGTTTATCCCAATACGTATGTCAGCTACATTTTAAAAAATATGCATAGTTAGTAAAGACAATGTTACTTCTCAATGATTTAATGTTATTTCATATAATTTCTTATCTTACTTTAGTTTCCTGTATGAGTCATGAAAAAGTGTTTAAAAGTTACAATAATATGATTATTGTGGGACTTGAATGGAAGTTGGAACCTCAGAAATAATTCTGGTTTGGAAGAAAATGATGGCTTTGGGTTCATAATTTAAAGATCCATAAAATTGGGCCTTTTCTGCTTAACCATGTGGCCTGTGGACTGAAAAGGCCTAATTGGCCAAGTTGGATTGTCCAGCCCAAGAAGCCTGGCCCGTCCAATTGCTTCCTTAATGTGTTAAAATTGACTAGGGGTGTCATTAATTCACTAGGGTTGTGTTATGGTAAGTATGAAAAGTTAGTTGATAACTGATAAATTAATCAGTTGTTCATAAATCATAAGTTATTTTCGATAACTCATGATACTGTTAGTTGAAAATCTAGTTTATTCGACAAAACTATTTGGTAATATTTACTCAGCTTAAATAAAGTAAATATCTCAATAGACTCTTTAGAAACGCTAAGACAATTTTCAATCGAAAAACTCATTTTGAAATCCATTTTACAGTAACTGACATATCAAATAGTAATTCTTCTCCAATCGAAAGACCCATACTCAAACCTAAAAGAATATTTTCGAAATATTCTTCTTCTCGTCAACTTTCACAACTTTTCAATATTACCCACATATTTTTTAACTTTACAAATTATACCACAATGTTATTTTAAATTCTATTGAGAAAATATAAAACAATATTAATTGTAAAATAATAATTCGTACACATAAAAATTAAAATTACACTACCCGACTTAAAAAAAATATTACGACGCACATAAAAGAAACTATTCATACAATTAGTCTTTCAAGTCTCGGAATTGGTTCTGAATTTGTTTTATATAATATTATTGTATTTATATATAGTAAGATAATTTTAATGCTTTTCTTATATTACGTTTTGTTATGAATTTGTTTTCATTCCAATCAATGTCATGTAAATTTATAGTATGTAATTTTACTAGTTTTTTATATGATAATAATTATTGCTAAAAGTAAATTAATAAAGTAAATAAAAAATAATATAAAATTATAATTATTAATGGAAAAAGATGATGAAAATATTAAATTATACATTAAAATACAAATAAAATAAATAAATTAATATATATATATATAATAAAACTAAAATACTAAATATGACTGCACAAAACATAAAGGGTCACTTTGCAAAATATAAAGGGTAACTTTGCAATTTGCAAAAAATTTTGCTTTACTGCAAATGCAAACACATATCTGCGTTTCTAGTGACAAAAAAGGGAGAAAGAACACATATCTGCGTTTCTAGCGACAGAAAAAGGATAAAGAACGTATTTTGCGTTTGTCTTTTAGTGTCGATTGGAGTGAATTACTCCAAATTTTCGTTTAAACTTGAGTATGCAGTTCGGCTGAACTTGCTCTAAGCATCTAATATAAGTTGGCGTTTTAAAAAATCTACCAAACCAAACGTATGAATGCAAGCTAACTAAATAAAAAATAAGTTATATTGTGATTATTACAAAACTAACTCTTACCAAGTAAACTCTTAACAATCTAATTTGGCATGAGTTGTTAATTATAGATTTTTTTACCATACGAAAAGGGCATTTATCCCATTTAAGCAGATTTTAAAAATAAAAATAAAATTAATTCGTAAAAATCGAGAGTTGGTATTTCATTATGTTCCTTAAATAGTTTTATATTTATAGTTTTCCCCACTTTCTTTTCATGTTGAAGCAAATATTCAAAAAACGCAGAGAATAAAAGCAACAAAATATGAGGCTACGATCGATGTGTAAAGTAACAATATGGTCACTGATGTGCCTAAAAAGAATAACAAAAGAACTTTTGAAAAAAAAAATAATAATAATAAAATTAAAGATTAAATTGGGATATATATAAACAGACGAAGGAAAATATTAATTGTCACTTGACTGGCATTTTGCTTCAGCTGTACCCAACAATGCCTGATACATTCTCTGCTATTTATGTTTTGAGTGGTTTGTGAATAGTAACTTTCAAGAGCGTGTGACAGATAATTTGGCCTCATCAATACATATTCACAAGTTCTTTT